AAGAGGACGATATCCGCTTCGTCATGCCTAGAGCTGATCCGTGCTGGTCGCTGAGGAAATACATCAACTTTGCGCTGTGGATCGCCAGATCGGCTTTCACCGTGGACGAAGTGGAGTCCAGCCCGGGGTCGTCACATGTGGTTGCCGCAAGCCCGCCCGCCTCCGCTCACTCAAGTCCGCCGTGTGTGACGCTGTGTTTTTTGTTGTGAAAGCGAAACTACTTTGTTTGGCCTTCCAAAAGAGAACACGACTAGAAAGTATGTTTTTTTATATTTAAAGAATTTGCCACTGACGATTCAAACGTGAGTTTTGAGCAGTGTAGAGTAGCACTTGTTGTTTGTAATTTCTCCGATCACAAATGCAGACATGGTTTTATGTTTACGAGGCAAAAAAAAAGACAGTATAAGTCATTATAATCAGTAATTATGTCCCCACTGGATGCAACAAATGCCTTGTTTATAATGGGTTTTAATGTTTTTGTCTTTTTGCTCCGGCCGGGACATGGCATCACAATATGGTAAGGGGCGTAACATTTCCGTCACACACTTGAGATATCCGGCCAATCACAACGCACTGGATAGCTGGCCAATCAGAGCACACTTCGCTTTTTCAGACTGATGAGCTTTGTAAAAATCGACGCGTTTCAGAAAGGCAGGGCATAGAGGAGAAACAATAATGTACAGTATTTGGAAAATAATGTGTTGTTTGAACCTTAAACCGCATAAACACATTTCATTACACCAAATACACAAAATAATGTTCTTTTTAGCAACATAATATGACCCCTTTAAATATTCCTTTCTAAAATAGCCACCGCTTATTTACACTCATAAAGTCCTCCAGTTTTGTGGACATTTACACAGAGATCAGTCACTAGTCAGGTGGATATAATTATACAGAAATTTGAGAGTCCACACAGCATTTGACCACTGGATTTACAAAAATCATTTCAGGTTTAAGAAGTGTTTCAACATTGGATCTACTGATGAACACATTATTATTTTTTTTAAATTATATAATTTATTTGACCGTGTATTAATTTGGAAGGCGTTTGTCTTTCAAACACATTAACATGCACAAATGGATTTACAAAAATCATTTCAGGTTTAAGAAGTGTTTCAACATTGGATCTACTGATGAACACATTATTATTTTTTTTAAATTATATAATTTATTTGACCGTGTATTAATTTGGAAGGCGTTTGTCTTTCAAACACATTAACATGCACAAATTCACCAACTTTTTGTCATCTGATCTTCTTTTACTGAATATATTTTTATTTGAAGTACCCCTGAGATTTTAAAATAAATCTTTTAATAATGAAGTATTACATTTGCATGTTAATGGTTGTCTGAAGTTGGTTATGGTCATATGACATGCAGGTAGGCTAAACAAATACAATATTTCTCTTTTTTTTCAGTAGCCTTAGTGTTTTATTTTGATTCATTTGAAAATGATTTGTTTTAATTTAAAATTTTTATGATTTAATTAATTATTAGCTTTTCATTAAACTCATAAACCCCCTGTAGCACACACCCAGTTTGGGAAACCTTGAGTAATATAATGTTTAATGCACTTCTTAAATTTTAAGAAGTGTTTTTGAGCACTAAATCAGCATATTAGAATGATTTTGAATATATTTTTATTTGAAGTACCCCTGAGATTTTAAAATAAATCTTTTAATAATGAAGTATTACATTTGCATGTTAATGGTTGTCTGAAGTTGGTTATGGTCATATGACATGCAGGTAGGCTAAACAAATACAATATTTCTCTCTTTTTTCAGTAGCCTTAGTGTTTTATTTTGATTCATTTGAAAATGATTTGTTTTAATTTAAAATTTTTATGATTTAATTAATTATTAGCTTTTCATTAAACTCATAAACCCCCTGTAGCACACACCCAGTTTGGGAAACCTTGAGTAATATAATGTTTAATGCACTTCTTAAATTTTAAGAAGTGTTTTTGAGCACTAAATCAGCATATTAGAATGATTTCTGAAGGATCATGTGACACTGAAGACTGGAGTAATGAATGCTGAATATTCAGCTTCGCCATCACAGGAATAAATTAGATTTGAAAATATATTAAAATAGAAAAGAGTTGTTTTAATTTGCAAGTACAGCTCCAGAAAGACTGAAATTGATAAATACTGGTTAAGATTACATTTCAGGAACACTTAAAGCAGTAATAGTTTTAAAAACCCATTTTCAGTTTTGTGCATTTTAGTGGGAAAAAAAAACGGAAAACGGACTGATAATGATTTAACCCAGGGGTTCTCAACTCTGGCCCTCGAGGTCCACTTTCCTGCAGAGTTTAGCTCCAACTAGGGCTTGGTCGATTTTTCCGATTTAATGTTTTGCGACAATTTTATTTTTTATAAATTGAGTAATCTTCATTTTTAGAAGATTATCAAACGTTAGAATTAGACACTTTGACAATATACCAATGATAACAGTAAAGAGAAAATAATTATCCAACCCCATGTCGGCGCACGTGATTAACCGCTCATGTGTGACGCGCTCTGTGAAGGACCATAAGGTGCCATTCACACAGAATGCGCTTTTGTGTTGACAAAGATGCGATGCGGGCAGTGGAATAGGAAAAAAAAAAAGCAAGAAAATGGGAGTTGAACTTCTTTTAAATTGAGTGCAGCGTTTTTAGACTGCCGTTTCATGCATTCAAATAAAATATAAAAAATTCATCAGTCTGAGTGTATCCAATCTTTATCACCTGCAGGAAGGAACCTCTGCAGTAGAGAATCTGAATGAGATGCAGTGCATGTGGTTCCAGACGGAATGTGCTCTGTCCTACAAGTCCTTGAACAAATATGGAGAGGCGCTGAAGAAGTGCCATGAAATTGAGAGGGTAAGTCTCGCAGAATTAGACACTATCAGATGTTTATTTCAACTGTAGTTCGCAAACTGACATGGGGATACCTCTATGCTAAATCTTAAGCACAATGTTTATGCTAAATGTTTAGCACAATGCTAGTTTAGAGTTCAAAGTAGATTGGATCCAACAGACTGAAATATCCTGACACTTCCTTTTGTCGCTCACAGCATTTTGTGGAGATAACGGATGACCAGTTTGACTTCCACACATACTGTATGCGGAAGATGACCTTGCGTTCTTATGTGGATTTGCTGAAACTAGAGGACGTGTTGCGCATGCAGCCTTTCTACTTCAAGACGGCACGTACAGCCATCGACATGTACCTCAGCCTTCATGATAACCCGCTCTCCGATGACAACAAGGAGTCACAGGCCGACAATGGTATTGTCATGTATAGAGATACACCAATCGGCCGGCCAGGAATCGGAATCAGCCGATTTTCCGCACAATCGGCCCGGACCGGTGACTGGCCGGTCAGTCTCACATCTTGTCGATTCCGAGCCGGTCTGTTTTGATGTTACAACTACGCTCACATCCACATGTAAACGTGTCGCCACCGTAGAAGTTCTTCACTGTGAGTGAAGAAGACACAATGTTCGCAATTTGTAATATGTGTAGGGCCAAAGTAAACCGTGGGGGAAACGCAGGGCTCGATTAACTCTTGTCTGGGACAAGTAGATTTTTTTCAAGGGGCAAGTGAGAGAGAATTTTACTTGCCCAACCAGATAAACAGTCAGATTAAAATATCAATAACAAAAATAACTAGGTAAGCACTGAAACTTGGCCACCAAAAAATTTCACCCGAGAATTTTTTTGCATTCAGTGTAAGCATGCAAACAGCGACTGATAAGGTTTGCGCAGCCTGTCTCTCTTGAGTGAGAGAGACAGACTTGTGCATAAATAAAAGCAAATCAGCACAACGGCACACACAAAGTAACTCTCAGAACGTAATAGATGCATACTGCGGTACAAAAAATATATATTTTTAATAAATGACATTACTACATTACATGACAAAGATGTTTCCTAGAATATCAGCAGGGTTGTGGCAGGACTTTTATTTTGACGGCACTGAGAATGGCAGCACACAGCGCTCACATTCTCCCTCTTCATTGTTTGCCATTGCCATTTAACAGTTCTATCTAATATGGATAGAAGTCTGTCTGATAATCAGAACTGTTAAAGGAATTAAAATGTATACAAAAAAGTATTATAACGATTGCTTTTATATTATTAGTATTAGAAAGGCAAATATTATAATACTTTCTTGTTTACCGTCAGCATTCAGCAAATACGCATTTATACGTATAATTTAAACAAATCTTTGAATGTCTAATAAACATTTAATTTCACAAACCTTGCAGTCGAATCCAGTTGTAAGATCTTGTGAAGTGTGCATGTATTCTGCATGATCGCGTGTTCTCTGCGTGAAGATCAGTCCATGTGAATTGAATGCGGACAGGAGGAGAGTTCAGCTTCACTGGAGACGCACGATTGATAAACTTTAAACTCGTTATTTCAAACTATACTGCACTTTATCCATTTGCCCACTGTCATATTCATGTCACTTTCACTGTGTGCTGTATGTAAAATGAGTGTTACCTTGGCTTTGCTTGGAAAAAATATGATTTCCAAAGCACACAAACTACTAAAAATACTGTAATAGGATTACAGAATCAAGTTGCCATCTAAAGTATAAGTATGTTTATTTTACACATTTATTTTTTGAATTCATTTTTAAATTTTCAAATTTCTTAAATATTAATAAAAATTATATATAACAAAATGATAAAATGACTAAAAACACATCTGTTCCATCTTTATTTGACCCTCTAACTCTAGCACTTAAAGGGTTAGTTCACCCAAAAATGAAAATTAGCCTGTGTTTTACTCACCCTCAAAGCATCCTAGGTGTGTGTGACTTTCTTCTTTCAGACGAATCCAATCGGAGTTATATTCAAAATTGTCCTGGCCCCTCCAAGCCTTTCAATGGGGGTAAGCGGGTGTTGGTTGTCTACAGTTCAGAAGACGTGAAATAAAGTGCGTGCATCCGTAATAAATCGTCCCTCACATGGCTCCGGGGGGTGAATAAAGGCCTCCTGTAGCGAATCCATGCATTTTTGTAAGATAAATATCCATATTTCAAACATAATAAACACTTTTTTTCTCACTTCCGCTGACTGTCATATGCGGAAGCCGTTCCGGCAGATGACGTAAGACGTCGGCGTTGCGTGATTAGTGACGAATGTGGAGACAAAACAAAACAAACGCCGTTCACGAATTAGAAGCACAAAACGAGGATTTGTAAAGAAAAATGTTGGAGGATTCGATATAAGCCAAGATGAGACTGGTTTTCCTTTGCTAAAGTAAGGAAACTTTATTTCCTTTGCTCCTGCATTTCTCATTTCTCTTAAATCCATGTTTCAAGATCGATGCATTGCATCGTCAGGGTTTGTAATCGATGCATCGAGAAAACGAGCGAATCGTTACACCCCTACTCAATACCATGACCGAGGTGAGACCCTTGAGCAAGGTATCGAACCCCCAACTGCTCCCCGGGCACCGCAGCAATATGGCTGCCCACTGCTCTGGGTGTGTGTGTCTACTGCTGTGTGTGTTTACTGCTGTGTGTGTGCACTTAGGATGGGTTAAATGCAGATCACAAATTCCGAGTATGGGTCACCATACTTGGCCACACGTCACTTAACTTTCACTTTCATACATACACACACAAAAGTAAAATAAATAATTATAGTCTGCAAGAATGAATAAAATTGATCAAAAGTGACAGTAACATTTATAATGTTACAAAAGACTTTCTATTTATCAAAGAATCCTAAAAAATAGAATATGTATTTCAATAAATTAAAATAGAAAACATGAATTGTAGTAATTTTCACTTTTTTTTTTTTGAATTTTTGATCAGTTAAATGCAGCCTTTGTGAGCATTAGAGCTCTTTCAAATATTTGAACGGTGCATAATTATATGTATACTTGATTTGATTAAATCAAGGTAGTATTTGATTATAAAATGCTAACTAAACAATAGCGTAATAAAATAAGATTTTTTTGCCTTTTATTTATATACTTAAACACAATTAAATTAAATTGCACAGAAGCATATTTTGCAGTGTGCTCTTGTTTGTCTTTATGCAAAATATAATTTTTCAATTAAATGAATATTTTTCATTTTTAATAGATATTTTTGCATAAAATAATACCCAGACATTTAATCAAGAGATTAAATTGTTCCACCATTAAAGGATTGTTCATACTTGCAACAATTAAATCACTGGAGGTCACAGTCTCGCTGTACTGTTGGTTGCTCTTTGGTGTTTCTAATGGGTTCCTTATCAGACCAGTTCAGACAGTGGATCACTTGGTGATTGTTCAGTCACATTGCTGCTCATAAATTTGAACTACACCAATGGCCACTTTTGCTCATGTGACTTGCTTTTTTGCTGTGAAACCTTTTTAGTACGAGTGTGCTGCTAAATTCTTTTAGCTCTTCATTTAGCATCTGCCTTTTTGTTGTATGCAGCTGCTAAGATGATGGTCTTTCTGGACCCCTCCTCTGAGGGGATGGCTGCTGAGCTGGCTACCTCTTTGAACGAGTCCCTAACAGGCAGAACCATTCAGGTACAATAACCATAAACCGAACAGTATAAAATTTGTGATATTTCTCATGAAACGCATAATGCTACCTCTCTCATATTTGTATGTGTGAATATTAGACGTGTACCGAGGTGCTCCAGGCGTTGAGGGACGGCAGTCTGGGCTCGCAGCAGGAGAAAAATTTTGAATCGTATCGTGCGTCTTGCCATGGTATCTATCTTTATGCTTTAGCCTTCATGCCCCCCGGTTACCAGGACAACTCTGCGGTGACCACCAATGGAGACCTGTCCCCCTGCGACCATGAGGATATGCCCAATGAGATGTGAGCATTTCAGGAAGGGAGCAGGGTGGCCGTTTTATGGCCGTCAGCATTTTGAGACCAGACGCCCCACTGAGGTTGAGACTCTACTGCACTAACGAGACCACGGTTACCTTCCGCCTTCACTTCCACTCATGGAAGCGAGTGAGCAATAGGGGAAAATCCCGTTTTACTATTTTCTTCCCCTTTTTTTTTTTTTTTTTTTAATACGGCCAATGCCGTCTCTTATGCTAGAACAGAATAAATGGTATTAAAGAGAAATATTGATCAAGATGGTCACAGTGAACTCATTGGGCCTAATTCCTGTTTATCAGACACACATGCATTTTGATTCTCATGTTTTTAAGAGTAATTTATATAAGACAATATTAAAGAGAACCGAATAATGTCAGGAGGAGCAATACTTTTGGTCCTGGTTTGACTTGTGTGGTCGTGTGCCAAACCTGTGGGGCGGACCTTTAGAGGCAGATGACGGCACCTGTTGCGAGGGTACCTGGGAAGGGGGGTTGGGGGTGTGGGGAGTGTGGCAGTGAATTACTGTGTCTGGGAAGAAACGGTTCCAGGATCAGCCACCAGGGGGAGCCAGCAGTCGAAACCCACCATGTCTGCTGGGAGGAGACTGATGTTCAGTCAATAAGCTGATAACACAGTCAATTGAAAGGTCACCTGGAGTACTGAGGAGAGGCAGACGTGCATCTCTATTTTTAATTTTTTCCTCCATCCTGTGCTGCCTTTTGGTTTTTCAGTGAATGTCTTAGAGGTGGCAGTGGCTTCTGTTGGACCTGTAGGACTTTTACTGTGACTGTTTCTGTTGGGTTTATTTGGAATCTTTTTTTCCCCCTCCCACTCATTGTTTGGGTTCTTCTGTTGGTTTCAAACTTTGTTTGATTTTTTTTCACCATAATACAAAACTACATCAAACATAGCACTGTCTGAATTCTGAGAACATGTCCCATCATTTGACACTCACACAGTTACAAATAAAACAAAATAACATGACTGATGTACTTCTCTGATGTTTTTTTAATTTGCTCATTTGGTTGTGCACTGTAAGATGTGAGTTTCATCTCTTAAATACAGAACGCAAGAATTTGCAGGGGTTGCTAAAGTTAAAACAAACATACTTGCTGGTGAAAAGAGCTGGAATTTGTACCTATAAGTATTTATTTTTACTTTACTCATTTGGGCTTTACTTTTATTGGTTGTTTGCCAATAAGATGACTTTAAAATATATTCAAATGAATTACAGCCTTGATTCCTGTGGAATAGTAGTGGTTCTCAAGATTTTAATCCCCCCCATTGTCCACAACAATATTCATAGATTTTTCGTTGTGATTTCCTGGATATAAATTAAGTATAAGAATTTTGTTACTCAGAATTTCTACCCTGTAAATATTTTAAACTTGGAATAGCTATTTAAAAAATGTATATTCATTATAGTAGTTTTACAAATGTATTATCCATTATTTTTCCAGGTCTAATTCATATATATATATATATATATATATATATATATCCTTTTTTTTCAAATAGTTGTTGAGGGGCTAAAATAAAAGTAATCTTGATTGATTGATTGATTTAAAGTTATTTTGGCTTTTAAGTCATCTTGAGGTCTCCTGGTTGAGAACCACTGTGCTATAGATAAACGGAAGTACATTTCCTGTCCTTTTTTAGACTGTTATAAACCATCTTCATCATAATTATTTGTCTAAAATTTAGGTATAGAGAGTTTGAGAGTTCGTCTAATTCATATATATATATATATATATATATATATATTTCCTTTTTTTTCAAATAGTTGTTGAGGGGCTAAAATAAAAGTAATCTTGATTGATTGATTGATTTAAAGTTATTTTGGCTTTTAAGTCATCTTGAGGTCTCCTGGTTGAGAACCACTGTGCTATAGATAAACGGAAGTACATTTCCTGTCCTTTTTTAGACTGTTATAAACCATCTTCATCATAATTATTTGTCTAAAATTTAGGTATAGAGAGTTTGAGAGTTCACAAATGTTAAGATAACAAGCGTTCATGGTTGTATTATTATGCTTGTGATGTAGAAGTAATTTAGGCTCGTTAGAGTCTGGCTTTGGGCACCATGTCTGGCTGTCCGTTCTCATGTTGGCTCTGAGAGCTGAGGAAAGTGTGGTCCAGGTTAAGGTATGTGGTGAGGAACTCTGGGAAAACATTCTTCTGCACTATTTCTATAAACATGGACACAGCAGTCATCAACCTCTGTTTGTCCCTAAAAAGAGTGGAAGTAGAGAAAAGGTCAGTATTTCTCAATCTGAGTTCTTGGGCAATCACAGAGGTCCCATAGCTCTGTAACATTTACAATGTAAACTACTACTGTATTTGTTTACATTAGATGACAAAATCCATTAAATCTGTATTTTTTTAATCACATATATTTGCTTTAATTTTTGTTTTCAGTTTAGTTTTTAGTATTTATTTTTAGTAATATTTTAATTTCAGTTATAGTTTAGTAATTTTAGTAAGAGCTTATTTCAGTTAGTTGCAAAGGCAACATTTATTTTCATTAAGTTTTTTTCAAGTTTGTATTTTTATATATATATATATATATATATATATACACATACTACTGGTAAAAAGTTTGGGATCAGAATGATTTTTAATGTTTTTTACATGAGTTTCTTCTGCTCATCGAGGCTGCATTTATTTGATAAAAAATACAATATTGTGAAATATTATGTAAAATAATGTTTCTCTATTTTAATATACATTATAATGTAATTTATTCCTGTGATGCAAAGCTGAATTTTCAGCATCATTACTCCAGTCTAAAGTGTCACATGATCTTCAGAAATCATTCTAATATGCTGATTTATTATCACTGCTGGAAACTGTTGTGCTGCTAAATATTTTTTTGGAACCTGTGATACTTTTTTTCAGGATTCTTTGATGAATAAAAAGTTAAAAAGAAGCATTTATTTAAAATATAAATCTTTTCTAACAATATACACTACAGTTCAAAAGTTTGGGGGCAGTAGATTTTTATTCTTTCTTTTTTTTTTTGAAAGCATTGATGAAAATGCAATGAAAACATTGATCATTCTAATAATAAATCAGCATATTAGAATGATTTCTTAAGGATCATGTGACACTTTAGACTGGAGTAATGGCTGATGGAAATTCAGCTTTGCATCACAGAAATCAATTATATTTTAAAGGATATTAAAATAGAAACCATTATTTTATATTGTAATAACATTTAGCAAGATTACTGTTTTTTCTGTATTTTTGATCAAATAAATGCAGCCTTGACGAGCATAAGAGACTTCTTTAAAAAACATTACAAGTCTTACTGATCCCAAACTTTTGAACGGCAGTGTATATATTGTTTTAGTTAATGATAACACCGAGTTAGACTAATAAGGTATAGAACATTGAGAAAGAGTTTAATATTCATATAGTACTTTATTTTATTAGTATACAATTATTTTTTTTATTTTGTAAAATTAACATCTTTTTTATTTATTGTAATTGAACTATTGAACAATGATTTCTTCATACCGTCTCCAGGGACATCCTGTAACCATTGTAAAATCACTGTAATGCATGGTATTTTGTTGTGTGAATCCCACTTCATTTTCTGGTCACTATTTCTTGTTCAAGTCCAACAAATGTTTTCTCAATCCAATTTATTTACAAGCGTCTGTACAGCATTCTCTACCTGCTTGTTTGGCAATGTATGGCTGCCTTCAGATCTTCCTTCAGTCCTTCAGCCAAACTGCTGACAAGAGCTCGGGTCACTACTGTCCCATCATCCTCCAGTCTCACTTGGTGCCGGATCCACTGCCAAACCTGACAAATGCAGCCTCTTAAAGTAAGAGATAATATAACATTGTAGCATGAGAGCTGGACAGTGTTGTGAACCAACCTGAGATCTGGATATCTCTGCTGTTGCTGAATCCTCAACCTTCCCCAGATAGAAGAAATGACCTCTGCCTGTTGTACAAAGTTAATATTAATAAAACCTCCATTGATCACATAGCATAAAAGTGTTGTTTAAAAGGTCATAGGTGAAATAAAGTTTTGCACCTGAAAGCCAGGCTTCAATGAAGAGGACTCCTACAGCAATGTTATACCTCAGTCCGTACAGTGTTACTCCTCCCTATAGAAATATAAAGCACACAATACAAAGGCAACATCATTTTCACTCACCACACATTTATTAAAATGTTGACATGATTTGCAGTGATAGAATTCAACTGACCGCAGGCATAGTGAGCAAGTCTTCAGGGGTCACAGTGATGTCTGCACGCAGCTGCAGGAGTTGATTCTGACCATGAGAGTGAAGCTGAAACAGCTGTGCGAGAGAGAGAGAGATGATATGTTTTCCCATACTGTATGCGAGTGCTGTGATGGGGAAATCTATCAATGACTAGACAGAAATGAAGAACTTATGTGAGACACTTACTTTTTGCATGGGCTCAATCAGGTCCATGTCGTAGACCATGAAGCCATCAACTCCTGCCTTGATCTCCAGTAATTTAAGTCTAAAACAAAATAAGAATGATCATTTGCATGGAAAACAAATACAGAACCGTAATTGGTTGAGCTGTATTGATGTATTTCTTTGATTCGCACAATAATATATTAATGTTATGCATACTAAAATGACTATGACTGTGAGCCAAGAAAAACTTACCAGTCAAATAACTAGATAAATACAATCTGTGATGAATCTGGTGCATGCCCATGCAAAACAGGCCCAGCTAACAGGGAATGTTCTTAGAACTTTGGTGAACGTTCTGGCAAGGTTCTCTCAAAGTTACGAACAAACATTTTTCCAGTAACGTTAATATAATGTTCTTTCAAAGTCGTCTGGTCTTTCATAATGTTCTCAAAACGTTTGCACAAAAATGTGATTTATAACAGAACCGTAATTGGTTGAGCTGTATTGATGTATTTCTTTGATTCGCACAATAATATATTAATGTTACGCATACTAAAATGACTATGACTGTGAGCCAAGAAAAACTTACCAGTCAAATAACTAGATAAATACAATCTGTGATGAATCTGGCGCATGCCCATGCAAAACAGGCCCAGCTAACAGGGAATGTTCTTAGAACTTTGGTGAACGTTCTGGCAAGGTTCTCTCAAAGTTACGAACAAACATTTTTCCAGTAACGTTAATATAATATTCTTTCAAAGTCGTCTGGTCTTTCATAATGTTCTCAAAACATTTGCACAAAAATGTGATTTATACATCATTCATAGAACGTTTTTCTTGTAATATATTCATCATTCCCATAATATTTGCAAAATCAAATGTTCCCTTAACATTTGTGTGTGTGTGTATATATAAATATAGATATACTGTTTAAACCATTTAAAATACTGGATACTGGATATTTTAAATGTTCAGAGAACATTTAGAAATTATGTTGTCATAACTTAATGGGAAAGTTAGCATAACATTGTTTGAACATATTGTTAGCTGGGTTACAATGTTGTGGGTAAAAGCCAGGGCATCCCTAAGTAGCTGCTAAAGTATTCTGGGTTGTTTTAAAGGCATGCAATTGTTAGGGTGTTCTTGATGTTTGTTAGATGGTTTCACACAGTTCCAAGTCTGAAGAGCCCACCACCAAGGCTCTATTATATTGTGGTCCATAGATTTGGCTCGTGCCACTTCTTAAATGCAAATACATTGAATTTTCCCAGTTTTATTGTCTGTAAGGCAACATTTGTCAGCCTGATTGGTGCATTATTTAAGTTCCATAATACATCTTGGTGCAGAATACAGGTCAAATTTTAATACTTGAGGTTATGGAGTTGTTCAAATCCCCAACCCTAAGTTTGATCGATATAATAGTGATGCGGCCTTATTAGCATCAACGAAAATTTATGAAATTTAGATTAAATGCAAAAGCAATTAAGTTTATTTCATGTTTTATTCCATATTAGGATTTAGAAGTATGTGCCACTATATTCTGATTGCAAATATGGGTTGGATTCAAATCACTACAGAGCTTGTATTTGTTCTGGTTGTGTCTTGCCTGGTGACAGTTCTGAGTACAGTCTTGTAGAGGTCACTCGCTTTGTCTCTAGGCAACAGCAATGCTGCCATGCCTCCTGTTGCTAGGGCACCCCTGCGGTGACACGTCTGCACTAGAAGATCCATGTAGCTGTGCAGGAAACGCTTCTCCATATCCACATACTTACTGCGATCAGGGAGGAGGAAATCAGCCCGATGACCTAGAAAGCAAACCGTGGTCGCTAACGAGGAATTTGATTGAGTCTACTAGTCAAACTCGCAGAAAATGTATGCGCTGACCGAATTTGTTGACAAAGGAAGCTGAGTAATCCCAGATGCCACAGTTTAGACCAGCAGAGTGCTCCTTGAGCTCGTACAAAATCTCCTCCATCTCGAACGATGCCAGGACACACTCGATCAACACGGTGGCCTTTATACAGCCCGCTGGCAGGCCAAGCTACAAAACATTTTAGAATACATTAGAAATAAAATTCATGGCAGTTAAAACTGCAGCAGGATCATACAGTATGTAATCTCTGTCAACACTCGCACCTTCTTCTCAGTCCAGAAAAAAATCTGACTCCAGAGTCTGGCCTCCATGTAGCTTTCAACCTGCACAACAAAACATGAAGAGTTTCTAGAATATGTTTGATACTACATTGAAGTTCTGTTCTGTTAAATGGAGCAACGTGATCTGACACTGACCTTGGACAAGTAGAAAAAAGGGCCACTCTGGTTTTGAAGAAGTAGTTTTGCATTATGAAACATCAGCAGACCAAAATCAAACAATGGACCTGGAACCTCTCGACCATTCACCTACAAAGAAACAGATGCTCATACACTTCACACTACCAAGAAGGATATTTTAGTACTCAGGATTAGCTCATTTACAGCTAGAGTTATCTGATTTATCTTTAATTTTAATGAATAAAATGTTTCTCCAAACACCAATTTGGAGCAAAATAAACAGACACAAATGAAACAATTACTGACATAAATTAAGAGTAAAGAGCAATAACATGAATGTGAAGAGTTTTATTATGAATGGCTTTCACTGAAAACTTTTGAATTTAGTTTTAGTCATTTTTGAAATTTCATTTGAGACACACGTGAGGCTATGGGGCTTTTTTCATAGAATAACAATCTAAAGCAGGAAACAAGCAAAAGTCTCCATTTTCTCTATATTTACACTTAATGCTGTCTGGGAGAGGGAGCTAAAATTTTAAATAAACCTAATTTTCTTTTCTAAAGGAGTGGTTATGAATGATTATAATTTTAAACCAAGGAAAACCTTACAATAGATCATTAAATCATTATAAGGTGAAATGTGAAACTAGATCAATTTCAAACAAACCGACACGTGGTTTGGACAAACAAACAAAAACGCAGGAATAATCATCTGTGCCATTAAACCAGCTCACTACATATCCATACCATCATATTGTGCTCCACCATGTTCCATGCTCGAGGGCGGAGCATCAGCACTGGAGCCTGAGAAATGGGTGGTACATCTATTCAAAAGGAATATGACAGATTGTTACCACATGCTTTCCATACATCTCTGATGGGATTCTTGTGTTAAAGAATATTTAATTCATTACACTTCAGACAAAACAATTAGCAGAAGTTAGAATCATAAGACTCACCCTGAAACTGGTTGTGCACAGCCTGATAAACATTATAAATGCCCTTTATTTGATTGTGATATGTTGGGCAGTTGCCGTCATCAAAATCAATCTACAACAAAACAGAACAATAATACAATTACAACCAGAAATTTTAGTGTTTGTCATCTTATTTGCACAACTGAGTCCTACCTGTAACCCTTGGGCAGTAGATTTGAGTCCTATTATAAGTCGTTGTGTATCACAGGGTGAAAGGTCACCAACGTCCACATGTCTGCAGTGTAATCGGTCTGGAACTGGACTCACTCTCCAGCTAGGATCATTTCGGATGTGAGCTGTGTCCTTTAGAAAGCCTGGCAACTCTCCAGTCAGATCCAACTGAACTTTCCGGAGGACTCGTAAATTCAAAACCTTGCAAAGGAGTGATGACATCTTTTGATAAACACTCATCCAAAAAATAAACAAACAAACAAGCAAACATTGTTATGCTAGCCTATATAAGTAATTTGGGTTTCCTTAATAAGCATTACGGGGTTTAATCCTAATATAAATGATATAGAAGTTAAAGTGGTTTCCCCTTTAGCCTACCTGGTCAACCTCTGCTTGGAAGGTAGAGATGAGTTCAGACAGAAATAGCAGAGCATCAGAATTAAAAAGAGTATGAAACTCTCTCTCCAGTTCTGAGGGAGGCGCTTCCAGCTCAACACCTTGATGTACCTGTTTATCAGCACATTAAATCTGCATGATCTCCAGACACTGTCACCGAAACATCATTTAGTTCTGCACATTACCATTCACTGAGAGACACATGGTGACACAATTGCATATGTATAAATACATACAAATATAGGAACATACTGAAAATATATATTTTAATGAGTGTTACTGTTATTTTAAAGCAGGGACACAGTATGAGAACTTACCAACATTTTCCGCAGTCGTCCAGTGAATCTAGAGTTGGACTTTGATAAGTATCATTGCACTGTTTACTTTAAGCCACACATGACTATTAGTGTAGTGAGGTTTCTTTCGTGAACGAATCGGTGTTTATAACAAAGCTTTTAAGGGAACGAATCAGTAAACAAACTCGACTAAATCGTTTTAGTGCAATTCTCCTGCAATATTAAAAGCACAAATATCAACAAAGTCACTGGAAAGTAAAAACTTCCACCCCCTTTATTAAAATAAATTATATTACAATATAATAACTTCCATATTTATTTAGTTTGTGTGTGTGTGTTTTGTTTACTCCGTTTGCAGTAGTAAGTTTCCGTTTTGTTACGCTCTTTTGTGTGGAAGTACCAACCATAATGCGCTCAGTATTATGTGACTTATCGCGAGATTACAGTTATGTCAACGTCGTACGTGGCTACAGACCCAAACAGTGTAAGAAGAGTCCGCCAGGAATGCATCAGCAAAATGCGGAGTCTACCGGTCAGCACGTCAAATACAGTCCCCGACGTTTGAAACTCTGAGTTTTGCACATTAAGCTTGAGGTGAAGGGTTGAAGGTTAAACTAATCCTGCGTTTGAATCATTTATTTGACCCGTTAGCGTCAGTAGCTACATTTGCACTGTGCCATTCCGTCTATAGGAAGGCAGCATGGCAAATATCGAGAACTCCTTTGAATTTTGCTCATCTTTGACCTGCACTTCGCTGCCTCCCCCACGCACCCGAATCTTTAAAATCATCGTGATCGGAGACTCTGGAGTTGGCAAGACTTGCCTCACCTATAGATTCTGTGCGGGCAAGTTTCCAGACAAGACTGAGGCCACTATCGGGGTGGATTTTCGGGAGAAGGTTATTGAAATAGACGGAGAGAAAATCAAGGTGAGGATGCTTCTGATTTCAGGTTATTTTGCAAAATGACAAAATGTTAATGTCATCCTGTAAATCCTGACACATGAAATAATAGTCGGAATGTTTAAAATAGAACAGTTTAACGTTAGACTAAATAGATATGAAAAAGTTTGCATATGTGTTTTATGTTTTGTACCATATTTGATACATTGAGTTTGATTTTATTCAGAGGCCTAAAGTGAGAAAAATATGCATGTTGGGTAGATGTTGTTATTTATATGGCTAAAGGGTAAGATGACAATCTGATATCCTGTAATGTAAATAATTAAATCAGTTATAACAATATAGCAGAATACTTCAAATGTGTATAAATATCAGTTGTCAATATGAACTATTAATTAGCGTGCAGAATGAATGTACTAGATTGTGTACAATATGTTTTTCAGTTCTGATCTTGTTGAAAATGTACATATACAATAGGCTTTATAAGGTTGAAGAGATGGGCTAGTGTAATGCAGGGTTAGACTTCTTATTGTGACTCTCTATGCATTGGTGGTGCACCATTGCATTGGTCATAGTAGCCTTAGTATAACTAAATGTAAATTTCCAAAAACTCTCATGCACAAAACCCACACTTTAATCATAATACCTACCTGTGTTTGTCATTTATGCATGAACACACCTTGCATTCTCCTGCAATGTTAAAAGAACAAATATGCATGGTATGATACAAGTTGACTGCTAATAGTTCTCCCTTTTTCCACTCTATCAGGTCCAGTTGTGGGACACCGCAGGCCAGGAGCGCTTCCGAAAGAGTATGGTGCAGCACTACTACCGCAATGTCCACGCTGTGGTGTTTGTCTACGATGTCACCAATGCCGCTAGTTTCCGAAGCCTTCCGGCGTGGATCGAGGAGTGCCGTCAGCATGCCCTGGGTCAAGAGGTGCCCAGAATCTTGGTTGGCAACAAATGCGACCTGCGCCACGCTGCTCAAGTAAGCACAGACGTAGCGCAGCAGTTCGCCGATGCACACTCAATGCCTCTGTTCGAGACCTCTGCCAAGAACCCCTATGGAAACGACGACGGTGGTCGGAATAATAGTGACCACGTGGAAGCCATTTTTATGACGGTAGCGCACAAGCTGAAATCTCAGAAGCCGCTGGTGTTAAGTCAACTACCGTGCAGATCAGGAGATACTGTCACTCTCAGGAGGCAGGACGAGGAGGACAGGGGAACATGGGGCTGCGGTTGTTGAAGGAGCTAATGAAGGAGTCACCACTTTACAGGATGGAGGTGACAAAGGTGAAGCACCTTTTAAAGAAGCAGATTCAGAGGTGCTTTTGTGTCATCTGTGAAGGTCCAGGTCAAGGGTTTAGGACACAGGAGCATCTATTCTCAAGATTTCTTTTTGTATGTGATGTGCAGAATCTGGCCATTATTTTAAAGGGAAAAAACATTCGTCCATCACTCAAACCAGAGACTTTGAGAAGTTGCATGTAGGCCCATCTGCCTTACATATACAGTACAAGCTTCATCCGTTGTGTCAGTCTGTCTAGTTCATATCATATGCCACTGCCAAACACTCACTACATTTGCCTACTAGTTTTAGCCAGTTATGCAGTTCTGTAGGTGAATTGAACGATGAAATCATCGTACGCAACGTTGCTTTTTTCATCATATTTTAGAAACAATATTTTGCCACAATTAGATAAACTGTTCTGTTAAATCACTTCAGCCTCCCAGGTGAATCTGGTTTAGTGTGCGTGTTTGTTCTCATTCTATCTCACCCACAGACACTAAATGCAGGTTATTTATTAGTGCTGCTAATAGGTTTTAGACAAAATGAGGGATGAATTTAAAAGAAAAAAAGCTGATATCCTTGCCTTTCTGAAAAAGTTAGTCTTAGTCCACTGATCAGGTTTTATATGTAGTACTGCTTTGTTAGGCAAAATGAAAATGATCTGTAGTGTATAATCGCAGATTAGTATGAGCAACTCATTATTCATGGCATTACAATGTGCATGGCATAAATCTGAACAAAAGGTCTGATATCAATCTGTATTTCAGTAATGTAATCTGTCAGTACAAATATACAGAGATGCTAATGACTAAATTGTCTTTCCCTTCGGCTATCTTCTTTCCAACACTGATACGCAGAACGGAGTTGAATCCATTACAGGGATTATTCACTCATGTCATTATGTAACCACAGCTGGTCCTGTGGAGTGCATGAAAGAAGCTCAGGCATTACATGCTTTATTTGTTTTATGGGAAATTGCCAAAAAGAGGGTTTGCATATGATTTCTGGTAAATTTTGTTGATGTAGGTTGGTAAAGGGCCCGATTAGCTGATGCTTTGCATTGTTTTATTCAGGTACAATAATAGGGGAGCATGTGATTAGTTGAGGAATTGTGCACGAGTTGATGATGGCTCTTAAATATTTAAATGCAACATAAATGCATACTAAGACTTGTCTGTTTGTGCTTAATGATTTGCCCCTGGGTGCTTACAGGTTTATATCTTATTTATCTGCCATAAACATCATGAGCATTCATGATTTTTGTAGGTTCATGCTGAACTGGTCTTGATAAAAACACTCTTGGTCTGGATTCTCTTCATTGTTGTCTGTACTGATTTTTCTCTTTTCAAGTGTCAAGTTTCAATTTTCTCTTTTCACCATTTCAAGTGTCCTTCAGAATTTAATTCTGTATTTTATTTCTGTCTGTTTTTATACAGTCTGTCTTTAACACAATAACACAGTTAACAATGTAAAATATGAGCAGATCTCAAAAATCCACAAAAACAATGTTACAGCTGGAAATATTCAAATGCAGATAATATATGGAAGATTATTAACATGCTTAAGTGTTACATTTTTATTATTTGTAATAGTTTATTATTCTTAGGATAATTATGCATCTTTGCAACTAAAGTGTATGAGCCAATTCATGATATCAGGAGTCAGCAGTTGATAAAATAACACCTTGCTATGCCTGAACTCAAACATGCACAACATATATTTACTAGTCATTTGTCTGATACAACTCATGCCTTTAATGTTGGTCAGTGAGTGATATAGTTTTGAGAAAATAAACCATCAATCCACTATAATCAAAGGAGTACAAAAGAAATCAATGCTTGTGATTTTGGTTTTAACGGTTTCAATGTTTTACTAAAAATAAAGTACCACATCTATGAATTTCAGCTGACGGGTATTGTGCTTTATTGGTCTAATTAAAGAGTACATTTGGAAACTTGATGTTCAGAAACTAGAAACTTATTTGAAAGTAATGACATTGCAAAAATGATACTGTCCCTTGGTATGTTATCATAATCTGAACATCCATTAAAATTGGAGGTTTGTAAATTCATAAAGGGGCAAATAGGATACTGAATTTGTAAAATATTGTTTATTGTAAAACATATACATACAGGTTTATGTGTGCAAAAATATCAGTCTGTCATGTAAAAAAAAGTATAAAGCCAAGGCACATGCATTAAGAAAAAAACACACTGAAAGATCATATTAAAATATGGCACTGATAACTTAAACATCAAGAAACAAATTTAAAGTTGATTTGAAACAAGCAGGCTTGATAATCTTTGTGGGGAAAATTAATGAACTATTTCATATTTTCCCCAGACACACACATAAAAAAATAATCAATTACTATGCTAGTCTGCTATATGGTGGAAGCATGGAAAGGTCTTGTTGTTCCTGTACAGGACAGTGATCCATGAATGACATGGTGGAGTTAAAGATTCGCTCATCTCCATCTGCATGAGGCAAAATAAAATCTCATTACAGTCAGCCACATCCTCACTAGCATCATCATAATGGCATACATTGTGGCTCATATTGCAGATGACTTACGAAATATGATTTTGTCATCTCAGTGCACAAACCTACTCCAACAACACATCTCTCACGTACCTTGCCAAGAGCATACAAGTTCAGTTGGAGTAACAGGGTCATTCTGAGGAATTAGAAACTCCTGTAAAATACACAACCATGCAGTAATTAACACTCTTTTCACCATTTCAAGTGTCCTTCAGAATTTAATTCTGTATTTTATTTCTGTCTGTTTTTATACAGTCTGTCTTTAACACAATAACACAGTTAACAATGTAAAATATGAGCAGATCTCAAAAATCCACAAAAACAATGTTACAGCTGGAAATATTCAAATGCAGATAATATATGGAAGATTATTAACATGCTTAAGTGTTACATTTTTATTATTTGTAATAGTTTATTATTCTTAGGATAATTATGCATCTTTGCAACTAAAGTGTATGAGCCAATTCATGATATCAGGAGTCAGCAGTTGATAAAATAACACCTTGCTATGCCTGAACTCAAACATGCACAACATATATTTACTAGTCATTTGTCTGATACAACTCATGCCTTTAATGTTGGTCAGTGAGTGATATAGTTTTGAGAAAATAAACCATCAATCCACTATAATCAAAGGAGTACAAAAGAAATCAATGCTTGTGATTTTGGTTTTAACGGTTTCAATGTTTTACTAAAAATAAAGTACCACATCTATGAATTTCAGCTGACGGGTATTGTGCTTTATTGGTCTAATTAAAGAGTACATTTGGAAACTTGATGTTCAGAAACTAGAAACTTATTTGAAAGTAATGACATTGCAAAAATGATACTGTCCCTTGGTATGTTATCATAATCTGAACATCCATTAAAATTGGAGGTTTGTAAATTCATAAAGGGGCAAATAGGATACTGAATTTGTAAAATATTGTTTATTGTAAAACATATACATACAGGTTTATGTGTGCAAAAATATCAGTCTGTCATGTAAAAAAAAGTATAAAGCCAAGGCACATGCATTAAGAAAAAAACACACTGAAAGATCATATTAAAATATGGCACTGATAACTTAAACATCAAGAAACAAATTTAAAGTTGATTTGAAACAAGCAGGCTTGATAATCTTTGTGGGGAAAATTAATGAACTATATTTCATATTTTCCCCAGACACACACATAAAAAAATAATCAATTACTATGCTAGTCTGCTATATGGTGGAAGCATGGAAAGGTCTTGTTGTTCCTGTACAGGACAGTGATCCATGAATGACATGGTGGAGTTAAAGATTCACTCATCTCCATCTGCATGAGGCAAAATAAAATCTCATTACAGTCAGCCACATCCTCACTAGCATCATCATAATGGCATACATTGTGGCTCATATTGCAGATGACTTACGAAATATGATTTTGTCATCTCAGTGCACAAACCTACTCCAACAACACATCTCTCACGTACCTTGCCAAGAGCATACAAGTTCAGTTGGAGTAACAGGGTCATTCTGAGGAATTAGAAACTCCTGTAAAATACACAACCATGCAGTAATTAACAGCTCAATCTTGTATTCAGTATATTAACTTTAAAACACTGAGGTTTTCTTGTGTTACAAAAGAGCTCACCCACCATGCCATTTGCTGAGTCGTAGCAGCCGCAAAGCGGCAGACTGCGGCAGCCAACATATGCAATGAGAGAAGAAAAGAGCAAGGACCCCATGCAGGCCACCAGAAGGGTGCCGTTTGCGCCTTTCACCATCCGGCTGAGGACAAACCTCTACACAGGACACAGCTTTATCAAATACTTCTATATTTTAAGCTAAGTGTATAACAGATGGGAAAGTAAACATGGTTGGGTGTGACTGTACCACTTCAGGGATAGGATGGGCATGGAAGATCTCATCATCCTCTTCTCCATAGCTGAGAGTGACGCAAGCATAAACGAAGACAATCACAACAGCAAAAAGCGACATCACAGATGATACGATCATGACATTTACCTAAAAGGTATTAATGAGAGCGTGTTAATATCAACAGGTAGAAAGAGACAACTGTCAGGAAAAATACTTTGGATTAGACGGATAAGAAACTACCAAAACTGGGTTTTTCTTCTGGGATGCAAAGAGAGCAAGCACACCAGGGGCAGCCATAAGCTAAAAGAGGAGGAAAAAGTGAAATGAGCTTTACAGAATCATATGGAGCCCCTCAAGGGTGATGGTAAATAAAATGAGATGGGAGAAAAAAATATATACATTTCAATGCTTTTGTATTTTCTCTCAAAACTTTTGCATTCCCCTAAGAAACTTTGAGATGGAAATAATATGAGGTGGGAGGAAAAACTATATTTACAGGGCGTTCGCGAGAGAATGCAGTTTCTCAGGGGAATGCAATCACTTTGCAAGAGAATGCAGAAGCATTTTTCCTACCATCACATTTTTTTTTTCCATCACCAGTCCCGTTAGGGGCCTTGTAGAATCACCATCTCTCAGTGCACAAAGATGCTACAAGAGGATGAATACAGGTTAAGAGGGACACCTAGGCCTAACCCTCTTTATTATTATTGTATCTAATCTTCTATTACTAAAAATCAGCATTAATAAGTTCATCCTATTCCACATTCAGACAGCAGTAAGAAACATTACAGTAAATTGACAAAGGAAAATCATGTTAACATGATAAAATAGCGAAATGTGGTATGTTTTAATATGGGATACAGCAGTGAATTCTATCATCCTAACATAAGTGTCATATTATATTTTGTTTATGAGACCTTGACACTGTCCCAGTTTGCTAACAGTAGGCCCATCTAAACATGGCAAACTAGGATGGTGCATTATTGATTAACGGAGGAAGCCATTTAAGTCATTTTAAATGGTCCGTTTTAAGGTTTCTTACCAGTCCAGCCCAGAGTGGAGCTCTAGTTTCACTCAGAGTAGTGCTCTTGCGGAAGACTGCATCCATAAAGCCGCAAACCACGCAAAGCCCCGCGCACGCCACCTGAAGGATGCCGAGGACCACCACACTCTTCTGATTGAAGATGAAATACCTGTAACGGTCCATCTCAGGCCTTCAGCGGAGAGAAAAGAATCAAGGAGAAGGGAATGTAATTTTATGTTGATGTATATCATTTAAAAGAGAAAATCTTTCCCTATTATGTCGCTGACGAGCTGTATCCTTTATCAAACGTTTAATGACTTAAAACCGTCACGACCGCTTTCCTTTGTGCGTTGATTCTGAAACTACAAAACCACTTTACTAACTTACTTTTACTAAACGCTATAATTAAGCTATGCTACACCCGATTTCATCTGTATAAAATGGTGTATAAGTCCTATAAATTAGAATAAATGTAGTATTTACCTGTGCCGTTTTTCCTTTATCACTTCCGGACCGCTTATGTTTGGAAGCAAGCGGTGAAACCCAGCGTCACTCATTAACCTGGCGCGCGCGCAGGTGCAGCACGATGACCACGCCCTCACAGTGTGGATATTTACAGTGTTGACCTAATTACCTGGGCATTAAACATTCCTCCATTTTGGCTTGGATACAACCCGATTCATATTTTCTAAATTTTATCATTATATTATAGCAGAGAACACTGAAAATATGAGTCAAATTGTGCTCTATGCTGGAGTTTTTATTGATAAATCTTTGTTGACAGCTTTTGCATATTGAAGTTCAGTTCAGTAGAAAGATTTCTCTTTAACTTGTGCCTTTTTCTCAAATACTGTACCTTCTGTTCAGTCTTTTCCCCATATACACAGTACACCTTACTTAATTTTAATGGTGTAAATCTTTCAGTTTTTCTTGAAAAAAAATCATGTAAATAAACAGCTTTGTCTGTGTAATACTGTACCTCGAGACTACTAGAGCCTACACTCTTGAAAATAAAGGTGCTTCAAAAGGTTCTTCAAGCGATGCCATAGAAGAACCATTTTTGGTTCCACAAAGAACCATTCAGGCAAAGGTTCTTTAAAGAACCTTTGCCTGAATGGTTCTTTGTGGAACCAAAAATGGTTCTTCTATGGCATCGCTTGAAGAACCTTTTGAAGCACCTTTATTTTTAAGAGTGTATTTAAACATAACTGTAGCTGTTCGCACATGCAAAAAAAAAGAGAACAAATTGGTTTACAATACAAGAATAATTGTTGGTAATATAAACATAAAAAACATCTATATTTTCGGTTCTTAGGGGAAACATGGACAGAGCAGCAAAATAAACTATACTGGTTTAATACTGCATAGTTTTCACAAGTTGTGGTAAAGTGTTTGTATACCTCAAGAAATAGTGACAACGGTTTTTAAAACTTTCAAACTCCACTCCACTTCATCGATTTCAGACAAAATGCCTTTTAAATCACTTGCTCTTTTTCAGTCTCTGTATTCTTGCAGTGCAACCAAATCAGTCACCAACTGACACACATACTAGTCCTTCACTCTCTAGAACCATAGAATTTTGCAGCTTGCTCAGTGATCTGAGTGAGGATTTGACATTTGCAATCCTTGTAAACTGATGAAGATGCTGGAAATCAGTTCAAGAGTGATTAGATGTTAGTGTTAGCTGCAAGGAGGTTGAAGAACAAAGGTAGCGTTTCTGGTGCAGTTACAGACTGGGATGGGAGATCATGTTTTTTCAGGACAGTGGTAGTGAGAGGAGTCTTAGCAGGTCTCGTCAGCATCTTTTCCAGACTCCCTCTGCTGAAACTACACCAATTGTTTTGTGTACCATTCTGGTGCCTCTGGACCAGACTTCCCCGATGACTCATGGTCATAACCATAAGCAACAGTGAGTTCTTCATCTTTCTCCACAGCACGGATTGCTCGGATGCATTTTATTACCCCAAAACGAGAATGGACGTAGCTTGACAGGTAAAAACAGCATGATTTACCACATGGGTTATGGGACTAACATGGGTTAGTCATGGGCAGGGTGCGAATTACCGGGGGGAGGTGGGGGGGAAGCTTCAGCAGGGCAGAAATGACAGTTCCCGGCGCACAGTCTGACATAATCAGCGCTGAACGCCCAGCACAGATTTCCAGTTACTCAAGAGCGCTGTGCTCCAGCGTAGGAACATTCGAATCATCTTGGAGAATCGGTTCATTTGGACAATTCACTTCTATCAACTAGTTAAAAATGATTAACCGAGTTGAGTCTTCTTCAAAACTAGGATCGGAAACCCGAGAAAAAATAACGTAACCGAATGATTTTCATGGCAGTTAATCTTTGTCAAACGTTAATTTTTTTAACCGATGTGGACGAAACCCTGCTAAAACACTCTGACAATGTCACCACGACCCTTTCTAAAAAAAAGTTGTTTATCATATAAGTTGTTGTTTATAAATATGTTACAAAAAACAAAACAAAAAATAAAAGTTTTAGTCTACTCCCAAACAAAATCCTTAGTTGAATCTGACAGGTCGATGTGCGAACTGATTCGAACGAATCAGATTAAAACTAAAGATTGTTGAGGCACTTTAAAAGGAGCGACTGCTTGAAAATTTTGTTTGTAAATTTGTAAATGTAGTTGAATCGAAGTATTGTGGGGCCTTAATTAGTTCAGAAGCACACGAGACATAAATGCAATTCGTTGTCATTCCCAACTCGTACTGTTATTAGACTTGAACGGTGGAATAGCTGGCGATCCGATATGCGTAGATATGTTACACCCCGTGTAAACTTTAGACCGGAACTTCCTGATCTCTAAAACAGAAGGTGCAGTATAGGCGGAGACCTAATTTCACAACTTTGTGGCGAGACCTTGTCTAAAAAGGAGTTGTATAGGACCATATCACCACAAATATGACTTCGGATGTGCCAGTTCTCCTCGCAGCAGTGTCGATACTGTCTGCTCTCCACCTGGGTAAGCAGCTCATCCTCTGCTCCATCAAAAATGACAAGCGTTCAGTCACTGCACTTCTACAGTAAACTGGACTGTTCAACCTTTAAAAAATCGAAGACTCTTAAAATCTCATACAGGTCGTTTTTAAATTCAGCAAGTTTTTTTTTATTTTTTACATTTGCTACAGTAGCCTGTATGGGTCTTTGGAGAGATCAGTCCTTGATGTTAAATTATAGGTTATTTTGATCAGTTTCTGCGTTTCTTTAATACATTTATCCTTTTTTAAAGAACTATTTGATGTATATAATTAAACACAAAAATCAACAATAGTTTGTTGAACGTAAAAAGTTTTTAAGGCATCAGGCCATTTTTATTTAGAATTAAACTAATGTGTTGCATTTGATAAATTGATCATTTTGATTTGAATTTTAAAATGTTGAAAAGATTTGTTAAAAGTCAATGACAGCTCTCTGTAGAACATAATGACCTCTTTGTTTTTCATAACCCCTGCCAAAACCAGTACATTGTGTAAATCAGATCAGGTCAAAGGTTACTAAAATAATGTTTGATTCTAGGGTCATAGTGAGCTATTTCAAGATAACTCAGCTAATAAGTCACAAATCAAAAAGGTTAATATGTACCTTAATGTACAACTATGAAATTTTTGGGGTAAATAAGGTACAAAGATGTCCTTTTAAGGGTGCTGTCCCAGTGACATGCTGTTGTATTTCTTTCTTTCTTTCTTTCTCTCTCTCTCTCTCTCTCTTTCGTCTGTTTTATAATCATATATAATAATATAAGCATAAAGCATATAAAGCAAAAAAGGTATGATTAAAAATAAAACCTGTCAATTAGACGAGGGAAAAAACAGGTATAACACTAGACATTCCGTCCCCCCCACCTTTGAAATGATGGCTACGCCCCTGCTCTGCTCCATCAAAAATGACAAGCGTTCAGTCACTGCACTTCTACAGTAAACTGGACTGTTCAACCTTTAAAAAATCGAAGACTCTTAAAATCTCATACAGGTCGTTTTTAAATTCAGCAAGGTTTTTTTTATTTTTTTACATTTGCTACAGTAGCCTGTATGGGTCTTTGGAGAGATCAGTCCTTGATGTTAAATTATAGGTTATTTTGATCAGTTTCTGCGTTTCTTTAATACATTTATCCTTTTTTAAAGAACTATTTGATGTATATAATTAAACACAAAAATCAACAATAGTTTGTTGAAAGTAAAAAGTTTTTAAGGCATCGGGCCATTTTTATTTAGAATTAAACTAATGTGTTGCATTTGATAAAGTGATCATTTTGATTTGAATTTTAAAATGTTGAAAAGATTTGTTAAAAGTCAATGACAGCTCTCTGTAGAACATAATGACCTCTTTGTTTTTCATAACCCCTGCCAAAACCAGTACATTGTGCAAATCAGATCAGGTCAAAGGTTACTAAAATAATGTTTGATTCTAGGGTCATAGTGAGCTATTTCAAGATAACTCAGCTAATAAGTCACAAATCAAAAAGGTTCTGATCTTCATACCTAGTGTGTCACAACTGAGAGATAGTCAGCATATTTGTGCTGTTTCAGGTCAACAGGGAGAACTGGGTCTTCTTATTAATACAAATTGTCCTGAGGAACATTAAAACTTTATTGGTGGTCACCCTGTCCTTTGCATTCATATTTGCACATTTGTGAACATATTAGAACTTATGTGTTGAATTTAAAAGGAATTAATAAACCAATAAACTCTTAAATCTTTTATCTTAAATCCAGCTTTTATCAGGAAATTTGCATCACCTTTCCATGTGTCACATTGTTATCACATAAGTAAAAAAAAAAAATCTGTGTAAAAATGTAGTTACCATGCACTTGCTTTAGACGAACCTTGCAATTATATTTTCATGTACCATTCAATACACCAAATCATTAACTTAGTATTGACGCCAAGTACTTTAACTGCACTTAAAAATGTATTGTCTTGAAATGATTGGCTGTGGTTGTAACACGTTTTACAACAACAGGACATTTCCCCTTGTTTCCTGCCTTGTCCACTGAAGAAACTTCCAAATCTTCAAGGCAGCAGATTCCAGAATAATGCAAAAGGGTTGCATTGTAGCCATTTTCATCTAGACCATCATATAGAGTTAGGTTGATAAAACTTGGACCCACGGAATAAATTTGGGTGTGATCAATTCCTGAACCGTCGACATCTGACATAATATAAGTCACTTCCAAGATTGTATTTCCACATGACAAAAGACAATCTGAACTCTCATTTACCACCCGACACATTGGTGGAGTAAAATCTGTTACCTGAAAAGAAAAGAAATGATATTTCTTTCAATTAAATGCCATAGTAACTGCCTATCAAAGGAGAAGTAAAGCTGTAGAGACTAATAGCAGATAACTGGACTATTAAAAGCTGAATTGCCCATTTTACAACTGTTTACATTACACCTACAACAAACAGAAGTTGTACTTACATTCAGTATAACATCTTGTCTTTCTCTTTTTACCATGTCAGCATCTTTGATTGCTTCATTCTCTCTGATGACATCATCACGGTGTGGAAAAGCCTGTGACCATTCAGTCAGCATACAGAGAAAGACTGTCTTTGCAATCTGAACCATTCTGGTCAACTGTGAAAAGATAAATAAATAATTAAATACATATATACAGTGACAGTCATTGCCAAAAGTTTTGGCATTGACATATATTTTGTGTTTTGCAAAGTTTGCTGCTTAAGCTGTTGTGGTGTTCATTCACATTGTTTCTGTTAGGTTGATAAAACTTGGACCCACGGAATAAATTTGGGTGTGATCAATTCCTGAACCGTCGACATCTGACATAATATAAGTCACTTCCAAGATTGTATTTCCACATGACAAAAGACAATCTGAACTCTCATTTACCACCCGACACATTGGTGGAGTAAAATCTGTTACCTGAAAAGAAAAGAAATGATATTTCTTTCAATTAAATGCCATAGTAACTGCCTATCAAAGGAGAAGTAAAGCTGTAGAGACTAATAGCAGATAACTGGACTATTAAAAGCTGAATTGCCCATTTTACAACTGTTTACATTACACCTACAACAAACAGAAGTTGTACTTACATTCAGTATAACATCTTGTCTTTCTCTTTTTACCATGTCAGCATCTTTGATTGCTTCATTCTCTCTGATGACATCATCACGGTGTGGAAAAGCCTGTGACCATTCAGTCAGCATACAGAGAAAGACTGTCTTTGCAATCTGAACCATTCTGGTCAACTGTGAAAAGATAAATAAATAATTAAATACATATATACAGTGACAGTCATTGCCAAAAGTTTTGGCATTGACATATATTTTGTGTTTTGCAAAGTTTGCTGCTTAAGCTGTTGTGGTGTTCATTCACATTGTTTCTAGATTATTGTGTAGAGTGATCAGATGCATTTGAAATAATTGCTAATAGCTTAATTGGCCAAAAAATGATTTTTTCACAAAAAAACAAATTTCACCGTTTCTTGATCCTGACACAAAATTACCAGCTAACATTAATTGACTAATCATATCAGCAGCACATGTGAAAGTGTGAATGAGTACTAGTCAGGTAAAATCACTACCATACTAATTAGATTGTAAGAGCAGACTGATTGCTATAAATTGTGTCCAATCATTGTGTTCTTGTTAGCAATGGTTAACTCCAAAGAAACACGTGCAGCCATCATCACTTTGCATCAAAATGGCCTCACATGCAAGGAAATTGCTACAAAGAATATTGCACCTGAAAGAACCATTTACCGGATCATCAAGAACTTCAAGGAGAG